ATATAAAAACAGGGAGGGGACAAAACATAAGAGACTCTTAAATATGAGGAACAAACAGAGGGTTACTGGAGGGGGTGTGGGAGGGGGGATAGGCTAAATGGGGAAGGGGCATTAAGGAATCTACTCCTGAAATCATTGTTGCACTATATGCTAACTAACTTGGATGGAAATTTAAAAATAAATAAATAATTTTAAGAAATAAAACAAAATAAGGGGGGGTGGGTAACAGGTGGGCAGAGCAGCAAGCCACCTTTGAGAAGGCAAAAATACTAGTGAAACAAATTAAAGCTCTGGACATCCCTCAAGCAGGGCTATCATTTGAATCAGATGTATCTAGAATGTATGGGTTGGGCACTATAGAAGAGACAACAGAAAGAGAAAATACCTCTAGGATATTGGTCTTGGTTCTGGAAAGAGGCAAAAACCTGATATACCTCCGTAAAGCAACAGTTCCTAGCAATGTACACAGTACTCCTCCAGGTAGACTGTCTCATGAAGAAAAAGCATAGCATGTTAAGAGCTTCCCTTTCTATCAAGGGATGGATAGAGAACATGTTCCATTGACCCACTTCTGCCATGGGCCAGACTCCCACTTCGACTAAGTGCCTACGGCATATGCCTACAGACAACAAAGGGGTACCCTGCCCACCAGCCCACTGTCTGTAGAAATGTGGGTGCTACTAGACCCTATAGAACATATAGATCCTCCAAATGCCCCCACCCCTATTCCTGTGGCAACCCCTGCAGAGGGAATGAGGAAAAATCCTGCTGATGCACATGGACTGCAATGGCTATTCAGCCCAACACTGACATCATCTGGATGGAAACAGAAATGAACCACAGCAGCTAGTGGGCTGAACTCAGCTATTTAGCTGGGGATCACTGACTGATGAACCCTGGCCGTTAACCCTTCACACCAAAGAGATTAACCCTGTGGCTTAGACAATGAAAAGCAAAGGTGTAGATGATCATAGATAAATCCTTATGAGGTCAAGAAAGTTTACCTGCAAGAGCCTGAGGTAGTCCTCACTGTCTTCCACGTCCCAGTTCATAGGGCAATCAGGAAACTGATGCCCTAGCTTGGGTAAAAGCCCTAGCAACTAACTCTTCAGTAGATACAACACAGTGGGCAAATAGAAAGAGAGGCCACCATAACACCCAGATTGAATGGAATATTACCAAGGATGCCAGATTGCCCTTAAAATACAGTGGCTTGGTTAATGCAGTAATAAATCCTGTATGTCCTCAACAACACTCAAGGCACCTGCCAAAGGAGTCTGGGACCATCCATCGGAGTCCCCAGATGGTGAAGGATTGGCAAACTGGTTATGTTTGCCCCCTCTGTCTGAGTGAGGATTCTAAATATGCCTTGGTTCATGTGGACACTATGTCTGGCCTCATCCAAGTTTGCCTCTATGGCTGTGAAAACCAGGTGTCCACCAACAGGGGATTATGGAAGCTGAGCACCATGTGCGGATGCCCTCAATGATCAGGGATCACGTTTCAAAGGTCATGATATCTAAGAGTGGACAAAAGATAATGACATTAAGTAGAAGCCCCACCTCCCCTGTAACCTGCAAGCCACAGGACTGATCAGAAAAAAAGAGACATTAAAGCAGCAGAATAAATTACTAACAACTAAAACCACCTGGCCAAGCGGACTAAGGTACTATCCCAGGCTTCAATACATTTCATTTTTTGTAATGTTTTTTATTTAGTTTTGAGAGAGAGAGAGAATGAGCAGGGGAGGGGCAGAGAGAGAAGGAGACACAGAATCTGTAACAGGCTCCAGACTCTGAACTGTCAGGGCCCAAAGCAGCGAGATCATGACCTGAGCCAAAGTCAGATGCTTAAAGGCTTTAATACATTTAAATGATCAACCAGTAGGGCCTATTACCCAATATGCCAAACTAGAAACCCCTGCCAAGGCATCCAGTACCGTAAAGGTACAAAAGTTGAGGGAGACAGCCATTGCCCTGAGTCCCACCGTGGATCAATGTGCTACGATGCTGAGAACATCAAGCTCCATCGGGCCTGGCGAAGGCATTGTGTACTGGGATTCTCAATAAGACATCCCAGGGAACTACTCGGTCTCTAATGGGATTCTATTATCCTGCTGCGAGCCAGACCTGTTGAAACACACTATACCTGGAACAGAACATGCACCACTGAAGGAGGGGAGAAGGTGAGGGTCCTGATCTGGCATATCCCACCCCCAGTCCTGCCTGCTGCCTTCCCCAGCCAACATGCATGGCATGCACAACCAGGTCAAATTTCTAAAGCTACAGCTCCATTAACATCTAATGATCAGGTTCCAAGTGTAATTCTTACAGAAGGGGGAGACTTTCCCATACGAGTTCCTATTAAATAACTGTCTTGTCAGCCTTAGACATCTGCTGCCCCTATGGTGCCCAGTCATGACACAGACTCCTAATATAAATACCTCTCCACAGTGGGCCCACTTGTATGCCCAACAAAAGATTTAAGCTGACCTTGGGTATATGAGCAGATGCCCCTTTCTAGCTCATCAGGATTATCACCACTCTGGGGAGTGGATTAAAAAGTTCTCAAGGCTCCTGGGTGGCTCAGTCAGTTTAGCGTCCAACTTCCGCTCAGGTCATGATCTCACCATTCGTGAGTTCGAGCGCCGCATCGGGCTCGGTGCAGACAGCTCAGAGCCTGGAGCCTGCTTCAGATTCTGTGTCTCCCTCTCTCTCTGCCCCTTCCCTTGCTCACTCTCTCTCTTTCTCTCTGTCTCAAAAATAAACATTTTTTAAAAAGTCCTAAAGCAGTATATTAAAAAAGAACAAGCTAGGACTGGCATTCTTAATTCATCTGATATTACCAATACTACTCTAGAAAACTGGTCTCTGGCACACACTATCAGTAACACTGGACACGGGTATTCTTTTTCTGTCAATCAAACTACACAGGCAGCCCATCAAACTGATGACCAAAAGGGTCCTAAAAAATAATACCATCTGAGCCACGGGTGACTATGCACAGACCTGGGATATATTCACATGGTTCACCCTGGGTGATGGACATTTGAGCACTGGATTGCCAGGCACCCCTATGTTGGGAACAGAAAAATCACTGTGAACACAACCAACCCAGCTGTACCAGAAATGTGGGATGGAAGTCACTGGAACTATGCAGTCATTCTGTCACACTAAAGGATAGCAGCTAGTTTGACACTGACAGGTCACAACACCCACTTATTGGGAAGCCCTGAATGGAACCCGGTGGTTATGTAGCACAGACATTTGGCCGTGGCTCCCACCTGGGTGATTGGGCCACTGCACCACTGCACTGGCTTTTCCCTGGGCACAAAGGAGAATCCGCCCCATAGTAATAGCAATTGCCAACCTCCTCCTCCTCAAGGCCAGATGAGCATGTTATGTTTTCCACTGGTATGCTCATCTGGCCACCATTTTCCTTCCATTGGCCTGGAAGCCACTGTAGCACACAAAGAAGCACTTACTAAGTCCACCTAGCAAGCCTTAAATGATAGCCAATAAGGAAAAAGCCTGCCCTTACTGAACACTAAAATATCTCTAATGAGAAAAGCTGGGGGCATCTGGGTGGTTCATTGGGTTAAGCATCCAGCTCTTGATCTCCACTCAGGTCACGATCTCACAGTTCCTGGGATCAAGCCCCATTTTGGGCTCTGTGCTGACAGTGTGGAACCTGCTTGGGATTCTCTCTCTCAATCTCTCTCTCTCTCTTTCTCTCTCAAAATAAAGAAACTTGAAAAAGAAAAAGAAACAAGTTGTCCTCCAGGATCACCTGAACATTATCACTGCCTCTCAAGGAGGCCTCTATGCCATTATCTAAACAGAAGGCTTGTGTTTATACCTGATAAATCTGCTCATTACCATCTTTATTAAATCACATAAAGAAACAAGTAAATATCCTGAGTTATCTGACCTCCAACCTAGAGGACTTAATAAATCAATGATTCAGATCACTGGGCTCTTAATTTTGAAAATTACTTATTTTGGAAATCGTGATTTTAATCTGCTTTTTCTTGCATGTGCCTAAACTGTTGCTGTGGCATCTGCCTCCAGTGCGGCCAGATAGTCACCAAACAAGCCACCTCTATGCCAGTAAAACCTTGCTGACTGCTCAGGGAACATTGCAAAAGAGCAGTACATATAGAATTATAAGAGCCAGTCATAAGAGGGGAAACACTGGAGAAGGTCATCGAGAGGATAGGGATGCCATTTGACCCATGAGCTGGACCCAGGCAATTGAGGCTCTTCCCTGCCCTCCCTGTCGGTGAAATATGCATTCTGCCTGCCTTCCTGCCCTAAAAGCTGCCTCAAGGACACAGACTTGAGATAGTAATGTGCTGTTGAGACCATCTGGGTATAATGACTGGATGTGCCATCTGGTAGACATGACTGAACCCAGTTAGGGCATCTATATAAACTTTTAAGGTTCTGACAGGTGGGTGTAAAGATCTGCTCACTTTGCAGCTGACTAAGCCAACCGTCATAAAAGCAAGTTCCCTTGCTTATTAAAACTGCCACCTACCAATCTGGAGGGGTCTGTCTCTTTTTCAGGCTGCCCTTGCCCACCCCTCCTCCCCCCCCCCCACACACACACAGGGACCAATTTCAGATTTCACCCAGGAAACTGTAACCCAAGGTTACAAATCAACAAGTTGCAAGAAGAGGTTGTTGCCAGGAGAAGCCACGGGCCACTGGGCGCTGCAGGTGGTCATGCACTGCAGGAGGTGGACACGGCGGGGGGGGGGGGGGGGGGTAGCTGTGTGCAGTGAAGGAATCTGGGTGCAGGAAGTGCTGCTCAGGCTGCAGAAGCCAGACCTAAAACCCACGCAAGCACCAGTGCAACAACAGGTTGCCAAGGGAGACTTGAGAGCTTGCCAAGCAAGCGCTAGAGAACCAGAAGCAAAACCCCTTTCCTCCTACAGTGTCTCTCTGGCACCCTCTGCTGACAAAGTTTAGCATTGTGCCAGCTGGCAAAGGAAACATTTAAAGGACCCAGATCCATTTCACAGTCTAGGCAGTGAAGGGAAACCTTGGTGCTGAGACCAGCTCAGCTGGTCTTCAGGGAGAGAATAAAGCTAAACAAAAAGCCATTACAAATCTGTAAGGAAAAGACCTACAATTCTAGAAAGGAAAAAAAAAAAAATACAGAGGCACACAGAGAAAAGCAGAAAGCAAAAGGCGAGAGACAGACAAGAGGTCTGATGACCTTGGCTGTTCTTCCCGTGGCCCTGTTACATCCCTGTCCTTTGATGGTAGGAGACTGCTCTGTCTCTTTCTAATGAACGCCTCCTTTTTTGTCAGGTTACACTTGCTTGGGCTGGCTTCCAGCCCTGCGACAAAGTCCTCCTAGTCAATAAGAAGTCACTGAATTAAAATCTCAGTTACTAATTTTATCATTTCCAAGACCTTGGAAGAGGTTACAGTTGTTTGTACCTGTTGTAATTTTGTCCCATCGGGTTTGGGGAAGCACTCTTCCTTGGCCAAAAATTTCTGTTTAATTACAAAGCTGAAATCCTTTCCCATTCTATTCACTGCTGCACTCTGAGTGGTACAGCTGGATTTCATCTGGGCCTCATTGTCCATTTTCCCTGGACTTTCCCTCAGATTCTTTATACTGTTAAATTCTTGTAAAACCTGCCAATTGATATTGTAGAGCAAGACTATAAAGACTTCCTTGTTAGTCTTTACTTTTTTTTAGGTGGGGGGGAGGGGCAGGGAGAGAGGGAGAGAGAGAATCCCAAGCAGGCTCCGCGCTGTCAGCACAGAGCCCGATGCAGGGCTCGACCCCACAAACCATGAGATCATGACCTGAGTGGAAAACCAGAGTCGGACGCTTAACCGACTGCGCCACCCAGACACCTCTAATTTTTTTTAAGTCCTGTCATGCAGGGGATAAGTAAGATCCATCTGAAGCAATAATTCGGACAAGATTTCTACCATCTTTCTCGGAAAGCGTCTGCACAATGCCGTAACACATTCTCACTTTTTCCTGCCTGATCATGTGTATGACGCTTTGATGTGGGGCCATTTATGCCGCAGCTTGTTTTATTGGTTCTTATACATGGGCTGCTTCGCGTTAGTCTTCCACTTGACTGAGTCAGCTTGTCAGCCCCATTCTTCCCCCAGTGTAGTTACCCGGTTATTTTGCCTTTAACCTCCTCGGTGGTAGGGAACATTCCACCCATGGGTGTTTTCTTCAGCTTCTTCAACAGCTCTGTTTTGTTCCCAGGTTGCTGGTAGGTGGTTTCCATTCTCTCGTGTCACATCTCTCATCTGATCATTTGTTTGGGTTTGGAGAAAGGTACTCTAGCTGTGTTTCAATGTGTGATTTTAACTGAACTTTCAATTTTCTCAGCATCTGATTTTTCTTTTCACCCAATTCCTTCTGTCTCAGGCACAATGCTCATCTCTTCTCCCGGTGTTTCTCATTACAGGACACTCTTGTCGTTCACATGGTCATAATCCATTTCCATCTTAAAGTACTCCTTACAAGCTTCATGGTTCATTTATGTCCCTCTATTCTGTTCTGGCTGAGGATCCCTTTTCATTGTCCGAGCAAGATCCTGTGTCTTGTTGGGACAGACCTTCCTTCCACATTTGTGAGAATGATAATGATAATCCCCTTAGTTGCAGGACAGGCATCACTCAACCCCCCCCCCCCCCCACACACACACACACCCTCACTGTTCCCTGCCTCTTTCTCACTGGGCCTGAGACCACTGTAATAGGAGAGCGATGTATACAGAGACTATAGACTGGATCAGTGGTTCCCCAAGTGAAAGACTACATCAGAATTCTCCTGTGCTTGTTAAAAGTGCAGATTCCTGGGTCCTGCCCAACCCAGTTAGTCTAATCTCTGGAATGGAGTTTACAATCTGCATCTTAATAATCTCTCCAGGTGATTTTTCTGTACCCTTAAAGTTGAACAGATATGAGCAGTATTCCGTTCTGAGAGTGGAAGGGGCTGGTCTGAAGTTAGGGATGACTTTCCACCAAGTTACTCCAGACCCGGATGCTTCCAGCAGGTGTTATCTGTGCCTGCAGAAATAAAGATCAAAAGTCCCCTTCCAAGGACCCCTGCCCTTAGGCATCATAACCATGTTTCAGAGTTCATCTCTGGAACTTAACCCTGGTTCCCATAAATAGTGTCCACTGTTGGGGAACAAGAATTCCTGTCCTCTTCAAAGGTCCTTCTAGCTGGACTAAGAATCAAACCGACATGAGACACATTAACAGGACAAAATCAAATTTAATACCACACATGACGGGAATCCACACACGCATGGAAACCCCAAAGATGATCAGGCAAAATGAGGTATATGTGTCATCCTGAACTAAGGATAAGGGGTTGGCGTCTGGGACTTCAGAGGGAAGGAATGAACGATCTTCACAAGTGTGATAAGAAGAGGAGCTGATGTTTGGTAATTAGATGTTTGCCCTGCAGTAGAGATGGGTCACTCAGATAAAAGTGCCAATAACCCTTATTCTGGGAAAGACCCCCAATTTAGAAGCTTCTATGTAGTTAAGGGAGGGACAAAAGTTTCTCTTGAGCCCGTAGGGTCTTGATTGCCTTGAGCTCAGAATAATCTTCATGCCAATGCAGCCCATCTTGGGGCAGCCTGCCCTCAGCCCCTCCTCCACCATGGGAATACAGGTACAACATTGAAAGTTTGAGGGCAGATGTTTGAGTGGGCCATAGCCATGGCCTACCAAGTTCACATTTCAAATTCAAAGACCCACTGGAGTCACTGGAGCCAGCCAAGGGACCCCACCAGCCTTGCAAAAAGGCACCATGTCATCAGAACTAGCAATGAAACCAACATCCCACCTCATTCCCTACGAAATATAAGAGGACTGGCTCCATGAAGGAGGGAGAGCATTTGACTTGTCCATCTGTATCCCTCCAACACTGAGGGGCCTCCAACCACAGCCCCCAATGGTCATGGTAAGGCGATTGTCAACATTGCCAAGACCACCTGTCACTGTCTGGGTCTGGAGAAAGGAGAAGGTGGACACAGAGTGAAGAGGTACAGCGTTATAGTGGATATGACCCCGAGCAGCAGACACTGCTACCTGCTGGCATAGGGATAAGGGAACATCTCGAGAATTGAGCAGACACCAAGTTGGTAGTGGGGCTTGAAGCTCTTATATCATTAACTGAAGGCTGCAAGATAGATGTCTTGGAGCAGGCACTGAGGAAGGGCAGAAATGGATCCAGCCTCTGCCCCGTTTCCCATGGCAGGGCACTTGTGACAAAACAGCAGCATTTGCAAGCCTCCTGAGCAAAGGAACCAATGGAAGGTTGGTAGTAGAGAGGCAGAGAAAACCAAGAGAGGGGGTTCACCCTCCCTCTCCACTAATGTGGGCCTACCCACAAATGAGGGGTAAACTGTAGCCAGGCAAAATAGGGACACGTGCATACGGCAGGTCTCCACCTACAGAGGCGTAACTGACTGATGGCTCCAAAAGTGCAACATTCTGAAATCTCTCTCTGTTCCATGGCTCACACTAAGGCCAGGTTTCCGACAGGCCACTGCCACCTGTGACTGGGTACAACAAGGATAGCAATTTGGGGCTCATTCTTATGATAGGTGGGACTCCCCTGGTGGGCGACCTTGGCCAGAGGGCTCTCAGTGGCCTTACTGAACGTCTCTTAGGACTGGACTGACGCCAAAGATGCCTCCACCCCACCTCGCTCCCTCCCATCCCTCCTCCCCTCGGGTCAGACCACACTGAAGTCTGATGGCTCTTCCAGTCTTCTCCAGTGCTCTGTGTTTCCTCTCGCAGGGCTTTCCCCTGATACATTGCTTCTCCCTGTCCTGGTGTCTGCTTTGCCGAGTGCCCATGCTAACACCATGAGTTAGCTCTTCCAGGAGCAGTCCCAAAATAAGAGGTCTCTTCCCCACCCCAGCACTGGTGTCAAAGAGCAGAGGCAGGGGCATGCGTGTGGGACAGATAAGCCACCTGTCAAAGAAGAGCTGCACCAGAGTTCAACAGGCAAGGATGGCTTTATCCAAGACTATTGCAATAGGGGAGAGAGACTGAACTCCCCTTCAAACAGGGACATGTGGGGATTTCTAGCCAATGGGCAGGGGGAAAGAATTGGATGGAAAATTACTAAGAAGAACTTTGTTAGGTAGCAAGGATCAGGCGACAGCAACATGATTGGATATCAAGAGCGGGGTGGGGGGGGGGTTCTCAATAAACCAATTTAACAGGATTCTTTGCTAAAACTGAGCTGGGCAGGCCTAGAACAGGCCAAGGATGGCATCTCATTGAAAACAGGGCTCAGAGGAGCCACACTCTGAGCCAACACCCCTGGCCCACCCAGCCAGTCTATTCTGGAGGGCTGGCATGGGAGGGGGCTTTGGAGTGAATGTGAGTCGAAGTTTCCAACAAACAGGACTGAGTCTGAACCGAAATGAAACAGTTTGCATAACTGATAGCTGCTGCAGAGTTACAGAACCGGACTGTGATGGTTACCGGAGCCAGCTCTTTGCTGAGAAGAAGAAAGAAGGGCTGGTCAGAGCACAGCTGGTGGCACCACTGGACACCGCAGGCACTCAAAAAGGGAGATGGAGGGGCGCCTGGGCGGCCCAGGCGGTTAAGCATCTGACTCTTGATTTCGGCTCAGGTCATGATCTCACAGTTTAGGAGTTCAATTCCTGCATGGGGCTCTGAGCTGAGAGCACAGAGCCTGCTTAGAAGTCTGTCTCTCCCTCTCTCTGCTCCTCACCCTCTCTCTTAAAATAAATAAATTAAAAAAGAAAGAGAGAGATGGGGCGCCTGGGTGGCGCAGTCGGTTAAGCGTCCGACTTCAGCCAGGTCCTGATCTCATGGTCCGTGAGTTCGAGCCCCACGTCGGTCTCTGGGCTGATGGCTCGGAGCCTGGAGCCTGTTTCCAATTCTGTGTCTCCCTCTCTCTCTGCCCCTCCCCCGTTCATGCTCTGTCTCTCTGTGTCCCCAAAATAAATAAAAACGTTGAAAAAAATTTAAAAAAAAAAAAAAAGAAAGAGAGAGAGAGAGATTGAAGGAAAACCTGAGTGTGGCCTGAGCAGGCTCCTCAGGAAAGCCTTTCCCCATGCGGCAGGAAGAATAACGGCCCCCAAGATGTTCAGGGGCTGCTATGAGCTGCCGGACACTGAGGTGGGGAGAACAGGTTTCTGGAGTCCTAAGAATGAGCCTTCACCTGGAGGTGTGCCCCATCTAGTGGAGGGAACACGTAAACACAGAACCCAGATGAAAGGTGAGCTTGCAGGGCCCTAGGAGGACCCTAGGTTTGGAGGGACGGTAACTGGCCCACCTGAATGTTGTGCCCCCTACAGCACTTTCCCACACAGGCACAAGATGTTCAACCTCGACAAAGGCTCTGGGGAATCAGGGATCCCCCAACTTCCAGGAAGAAGGCTTGAACCCAGGAAGCAGCCAAATCCTGCGGCGGAGACGGCAATGGGGTGTCTGTGTGAAAGATGTGTCTTCACCTGCAGCCATAGGGTCTCCACAGAAGCTAAACTCTGAGACCCAGGGCTCAGATGAGGCACCACATGGCAAGGGCGTGACGACAGCAGCCCGGGAAGCGGCAGATGCGGATTCCAGGACAGCAGATGCGGACTCCAAGCTGGGCAGGGACACCAGAGAGCTGGAACATGCTCTCCCGGGTGCATCCCTGTGCGTCTAGAACCCCACAGTCCAAAACTTGCCTTCAGGTTGACGTCAGCACATCCATTAAATCTGCATCAAATTTAGATTCCAAACTGAAATTTGATTCTGATTCTGTAAGTGAAATGGGGATAATAATAATATGCCTGCCTGAACGGGTTGCCTGGATGTCTAAATGAGATCATATAGTCCATTCTGCTGCCGACACTTGTTTTGCAAATGGAAATTTGGTCCAATGCAATTGATAGATATATCATGGGGAAAATTCGAGTGTAACACAAACTTCAGGTTTGATTACACAACTAACTCATCCATGAGAAATACTAGGTGAACCGAGAAAACCACGCCCAGCTGAATCAAGCTGCATGGGAACGCACAAATCACTCAGCACCCACCTCACAGCTGCCAGCTACCCTGGCGAACCATGTGTTGGGAGCCACACCCAGACACATCTGGTGTTCCCACTGTCGGTCCGGCTGCAGAAAACTCTCTTTCCACCTCCACAATAACCCACACGCGGCGGTCCTTCCAGTGCCTGACTCCACAATCAAACTACTTCAGGTCTGTTTCAAAGTAAAAAGCTGTATTTATTGTAGTATTGATTTCTTAATCATTTAACATATGTAAAACTTTGCTACCATTTTCATCAACCTCCTTTTTATGTATCACTGACAAAGTGTTTGAGTGTTGGGTCCCTAGCCCCATTTTCCATAAGCCTTGTGCTTGCATAGTTTTTGCTTAGCCTTGTGATTTTTATTTTTTTAATGTTTATTTTTTTTTTGAAGGACCTCTCCAATCATCTTTTTTTTTTTTTTTTTTTTAATGTTTATTTTTGAAGAGACGGAGCACAAGCTGGGAAGGAGCAGAGAGAGGGAGACAGAATCTGAAGCAGGCTCCAGGCCCAACACAGGGCTCAAACCCGTGAACTGCGAGATCACAACCTGGGCCAAAGTTGGACACTTAATCAACCTGAGCCACCCAGGTGCCCCAGCATTGTGATTTTTAGGAACTAACAGTCATGTTATAGGACTGAGTGCACACGTAAAACACTCAGCTCACGGTAAGCCTCCAGTGAGTCATCTACTGCTATTATAATAACAATTATTATTGAACCTCGTGCTTGAATAACACTTGCCATTTTTTTCAAGGTTCTTTCCCCATTACGAACTGACTTCATCCTCATGCTTTGCTTGTGGATTATTTTTCTGATTATACACAAAAGAAAATGCAAACGCAGAGAAGTCACTTGCCCAAGATCACACAACCAAGTCCCAGCAGATAAAAGGCCTGTTCCCTGCCTTCAAATTTCTTAAGATACAAAAGATACAGATATTACTTCTAAACCTATATCCAAACACTGAGAGCAAAACGTACATAAGAGCATGGCCCTTTGGGAGTCAAAAGGTGGAGAGGAGAGAGGGCATTTAATCATAAAAGAATCCTTGAAGAGGTAAATTGGAACTGTAGAAAAATAGTGAGCAGAAGGAAAAAAACTGCAGAATGGAGACAAATCAGTGGATAGCAGGGGTCTCAAACTCAGATGCCTACAGGGGCCGAGCAAACAACAGGGATGAATAGAACGTTCCGGGTGTAAACAATAGAGAATGGTGGGGACTGCAGGGCCTCAGGTCTCACCAAAGGGGTAGCCACTAAGGAGTGCTGACCAATTTTGTGGCACTCCTAGGAAGATCCAACAACTGGTTTTTATGAGAAGCAGAAAATTTACATTTTATATGAAATTTCTAGGTTGGGTTTTTTGTTTTTTTCATTTTAATTGTGGTCTAAACATCAACTGTTTTCTAAACATTGGCAACGAATTCAAGTATTTTAAAAACACGTTTCAGGCCAAACTAATACATCTACAGGCCAGATGCGCCCCGCGGGCTGCCAGTATTCAAGCTCTGATGAAGGACGATGCTCAGGGCTCGGGGCCCCAACCAAAGAAGTCTGAACAATGATGGACACAAAATATGTTATTTATTGTCAATTTCTGCAAAGACACATTTAAGCAACAAAATATACATTTGTCAACCTTTTTTAGAATTTGTTTTATACATTAACAAATACAATGTGCTACCATAGCAATAAATTAAATGTACATTATTTACATTACATAGGCAGTCGGGGTCTACGAATCACCTCCTCAAGAAGAGGAAAGAAAGAAAAGTCATCATCACATGGATCATCATTTCCAAGCTACACTTCTGAGGTTCTATTACACAAAGGAATCTCTTCACACTAGAACACCAGCAATCCCCGGGCTGGAGCGTAGAAGGGGAACGCCCATGACAGGGGAGAGTTGGCATACATGCTAAGGAGTGGGAAGGAGGAACTGACCGTTCCAAGTGGAAATATCACAAAATCAAAGATGATGGCATTTAAATTCCAGTCTTTCAGACAAACACCCCCTCTCCAGGGCTGGTAAGGCACAGGACAGAGCCACTGCCCCAACAGCCTCTCACTAGGCAGGGCTCCACCGTCCTTGGCCCTAGTGCGGGTGGTCTCCTTCCTCCCAAAGGGGCAGATGGGCCAGCTGAAAGGAAGAAGATGTGGGGTTGGGGTGGGCAAGGGGCTAGTGGTAAAAACAGATATCAGGGCTTATAGAATGCTCCTTCACAGCCTTGGCAAACTCCACTGACCCACCCTCACTTTTGAGAAAGGGAGCTAGAGATCTGGGGAGAAGCCGTGGGGTCCCAAGCATGGCTGTACAGCTGGGTCCCTGCCAGCCACCTACTTGACCCCTGACTCTCCCCCACGACGACCTGTCTCTGTTGACTCAGAATCAAACGAAGAAGGTAGTGTTTGCATTGGCACTTTAAACAGCCAGGGGAAGAAGTGACGGTGGCTCTCATCTCACCTTGTCACACGAGCCTACATTTTTATTAACCACCTTTGTTTAAGGGTCGGGGAGAATAGGAGAGTTTCCTTCTACCATTTTCCTTAACTTAAGGGGGGGGGGGGGAACTGAGTGTTAGTTAACTCCATCTCTGCCCTGGCCCCCACCCCTACAGGGCAGTTGAAGAATGGACATTACCCGGAAAAGTCCACTAAAAATCTCTTGCCCTCCAGGTTTTCTCTGCTCAAGTTGCATCCAAAACCCCAGGGCCCTCACTGAAAAACTGAGAGACTATCCCTCCTGATGAAAAGAACAGAGACTGAGGCCCCACCCTGACTGCTGACAGCTCCCAACCAATACCCAGGCATCAGCAAGGCTCCTCCAACACTCAGGGCCCCGGCAAATGCAGCCGCTTGTTGAAGGGACCATGTAGGTGGAGCAGACGAAAGGGCCCTGGGTCGTGGGTTCTAATCCCAGCTTTGCCACTCGCTGGTTGTGTGATCTCCACCGAGTTACTTCCCCACGGGGGCTGAGGTTTCTCGGCTGGATGATGATCTGGATGGATTAGATGTCAAAAGGGACCCGGAAGGCTGGGACACGGAGATGGTGCCAACGAGGCTGAACCACAGAATGTTTTTCAGTCATTTTTCACTCATTCATCATTTTCCATTCATTAGAAACTCTAGCTAAGATCTTCTCTCTCAAGCTCTTTCTGTCTCTGCTTTTAAGCATCAACTGAGCGGAGGCAAATGGATACCCTACAAAGCCTGACAAATATCATTTCTCCCGTGAGTCAGGCAGTTCCCAGAAGCAGAGAGGTGTCCAGGAAACACCTCTCTTGTGTCCAGATCACAAGCAGAGCACCTCGAATACCAGCACGAGCACCGTCAGAATTAGTCTGGTCACAGGGACCAATGAGACTTGAGCAAATCTTTGAGCCCCAAGACTGGGCGCAGCAACGAAAGGAAGTTTTGGGCCAAGCAGATGCAGGAGAATATGGGGGAAGGAGCCTCCAGGAACCCACGCTGCCTGCCCCACGGTCTACAGGGGTGAGGTTAAGACTGCCCATTCCCTCCTCTCCTCCTCCCCCTCAGCCCTAGGACCTCAGCGGGGCTGGTCATGTATACTCTAGAAGCCATAGGATGGGCTTTCTAGAGAAGGTAAGACAGGACCCAGAGGAAGGACATTTTGGATCCAGTCCAACGTACCCCTAGTAACCTAAGAAGGCAGAGAACCACTTCTCAGGCCTGCTTCGTAGGGAGCACGCCTAGGCCTCTGCTTCCCTGGACACGCCCCACCTTCCTGGCCACTGGCTCAGAGGCAGGGACAAAGCCCTCCCAGGCAGTGGGGGCTGCGGGAGCAGCAGCCAGAGCAGTGGAGGAAGGCGGGTATGAGGTTCCCAAGTAGGACAGGGTGGGGACAACCTGGAAACTCCAAAGGACCCCCAGACCACAACACAACACAGCATAACCACCAAGCAGCTGTAAATACCAGCTATCCAGAGAAGCAAACCAGAACCTGGAATTGTTTTGTTTTTTTTTTAAATGCAGCTTGACCTTCCAAGATCCTTCAGAAACTCAGCCAACAAAATGCTGCCGGAATCCGCAGACCTCGTGCCAGCAGCGGGTGCCGCTACAGTGACTTTTAATAAAAGCTACACAGACATCTGTTGACCTTCTCACTAGAAGAAATTTTACCGGACTAGTACTTTAAGTAAACACGTTTCCCAGGGTGTGAGGGGAGAGGCCCGCCCAGCTTGCAAACAGGACCCGACAACGTCCACATGAGTGAGAGACGAAGGGTCAAGGTTGTGCTCTGATGGCAAAAGCAACAGGGGAGTTGTGGCATCGGTCAAAAACAAGTAGAACATTGACTTGGGGCTGCTTTGACTTGGGAATAGGCCCAGATCCCACCGCAAAGAAAACATCTGGTAGAAATCCTTGTCATCTGCTCACTGAAGTAGGAAGCCAGCCTGAGTCGCCCTGGCTGTCCTGTGTCCCAACGTGCACTTGAAGCCGTAGCACCTCCGAGGCTCTGCTCCTCAGACTCCATGTTTTACTCGTTTTACTTCACACCCGCCTTAACCCCCAGCAGGGCCAGTCAGCGGAAACGACCTTTCGCACCGCAGACAGGGAAGGGCAAGAAGCACGAATACGGGGCCCGCTCCTGAGAGTGGGCTGGCTCCGCCCGAGAGGGCAGGGGGCAGGCAGCGTCTGAAGTACACCCCCCGGGGGCCCAGGTGGTACAAGTCTCACCAACGGGACCACTGCCTGCAGAGTCGTGACTGAAGAAGAAGGTTGGGGGACCAAGCGCCCACATGGCCAGAGGGCACAGCAGCCGGGAAGAGCCCCCAAGGTAGCCCTGGGCCCCCCGCAGATGCCAGAAAGACAAGCTGCAGAAGGATGTCGCCCCTTCCCTCACACCTACATTCTGTGCCCACGCCCGGGCCTGGCCAAGCCTAACAGCTCGTGCCCCATGTCGCCTCCCTGGCTCTGCCCCAGGCGGTGGGCTGAAGTAACTCTTCCACGAGCCTCCACAGCCAGCAGAGACCCAGCCCAGCCCGCGGCCCCATGGTTCCCCGCAGCCGAGGCCCCAGAGCGCGACTTGCCAGCTTGCTCTCCCCGAATTCCTTCCCGCTCCGGGCTGCCTGCCCCTTCTTGGGGAAAACACCTGCCCCGAGCGGAGATGTAGGCACGGGGCTTCTCCCACAGCAACGGCCACCGGGCTGCCGCTGAGGAAGAGCACGGCGCCACCTCACACACGCCCAGCTCAGTCTCGGTCAGCTGACAGCAGCAGGGACAGAGGCGGCGCCGGGCCTGATGCCAGCAAGTGGGCACGGAAGAAGTTTCTAGCACAGAAGCACATGGTTGTGGGGGCAACACAGCTGGTTTCCATCAGGACACCTTGGAGGGCTGCTACACATCTCTGTTCCCGGGAAAGTGGTCCCTCCGCCACGACTACGTGTATTCACCGCACCTGTCACATCCAGTGCTGCCCGTCTCGGGGTGCGGCTTCCCACCGGTGGCCTCCGCCCCCCACCTCACCACCCTCTCTGCCTCTCCTGTCTGTGACCAAGTCCCTAGGCCCCACATTCCCTCCCTTGCCCGACTCTTTCCTCTACGGACAAAACAAGATGACGAAGGACCCAGACACACATCACATGGGGCGGTCAGGCGCAGGGGGAGCCCGGAGGAACGAGGCCTTGTCCGCAGAAGGGGAAGTGCTTGCAGGGTGCCTCGGCAAGGGGACAGGCAGGACAGTGGCCAGATCGGGACACTGGGACAGATAACTGGTCTGGTGGGCAGGTGGCCGGTGGGGCAGCAGGACTGTGACGGTCAGAGTAGTGGATGGCACCCCCAAACTGCTGGAACGGGAGCCTTCTCCAAGGCAGAATCGGGGCTTCCCTGGAGGAGAGAAGGAGGGAGATGGTGACCAAACGGTGGGTAAGGAAGAGGAGAGCGTGCGCCCAAGGCTATAGCCCACCGATGTGCTTGTGACAGGATGGGCCAAACACAAGAGGACCGGAGGTTACGCAGCCTGAAAAGTTGGGCATAAACACGGACTTGATGAACAGAGGCATCAGCTGTACACGAAGGGGGGGTAAAGGTGAGCCTCAGAATTCCCACGGTCCCTTCTGCCTTTTCATAGATCAGGTTTATATAAAGTGAGAGGAGCTGTGCCCCCACCCCGCCTTGGTTCCAGCTGTGACTCACACCCCCTGTCCCCGGGAGCCCCAAGGCAGGAAGAGGAATGGGCATTCAAATGGGTCTCCAGTAACTTTACCAGCAGGAGGTCAGGCCTCAGTGTTGTCAAACTGGACCCATGCCCCGCTCTGCCAAAAACCACACAGCTGGAACGGAAGTCCTCCCTGGGGTCATCCAGTACAGTGTTTAGGGGGCTAGGGCACCTCTGAACATGATGGGGGGACACATTTCAGCCCAGAGCCCTGGCCAAAGACACAAGGAGGGAAAGGCTGCCAAGAACAGGGAGGCAAGGGGGGCAAATTGCGGAATCCCCCGTCCAGGGCAGGGAGGCCTGCTCTGGGCTACGGGGCCCCCTGCCTGCTGGAACCAGGCTCCTCCCAGGGCAGGGAGACCAACTGGGTAAGCCTGGCCCAATCCTATCAGGAAACTCTCCCCAGCCACACCGGAGGCCACCTGCAATCCTCCGCATCCAGACCTGCGCCCCATCACAGAAGCTT